ACCTAAGCTGACATTTGTCCTTTTAAAACTTTTAACTTCCCCTCCGTAATGAGTGTATAATTCAATCTTGTTATTGTACTGATTAGTATTTTTCTGATTCTAGTGTTGCACACCTTTCCTTGTGCTATACTGGCTATTTACCATCTTCTTGTGTCTACTTTTTAATTGGGTTGTCTATTAATGAGCTGTAAGAGTTCCTTATATATTCTGGTCATAGGTTATATGCATTATAAATATGGTCTGTTTAAGGACTACTTTTCAGTTTCTTAATGATGTCATTTAAAGTTCTAAATTTTGATGGAATCTCATTTATCAGATTTTTTCTTTTATTCATCATGTTTTTTATATCCTAGGAAATTCTTGCCTATCCTAAATTCATAAACATTTTGCCTTATAATTTCTTCTTAAAGTTTTATAGTTTTAGTCTTTCATATTTAGGTTCATAGATCCTTTCAAATTATTTTTATGTATGGAAATAAAGGGCTGAAGTTAATTTTTTATAAACGGATACCAGGTGTTCTAGTGCCATTTGCTGAAAACACTATCTTTTCCTCTGCTCTTGAAATTTTTGTTTTTGTTTTTTTGGTACTGGGGATCGAACTCAGGTCCTTGCTCTTGCGAGGCAAGCGGCAGAACCACTGAGCTGAATCCTCAGCCCATCTTCTGCTCTTGAAATGAGTTTATGTTCTATAAAATGTTAAGTAATCTTTCAAAACTCAGTGGACCATATCTGTGTGGTTCTATTTCTAGATTCTCTATTTTATTTAATTTAATTTTTTTTTTGGTACTGGGGATCCAACTCAGGTCCTTGCGCTGCGAGGCAGGTGCTGGAACCACTGAGCTAAATCCCCAGCCCTAGATTCTCTATTTTATTCCAATGATCTATATGTCTTTCCTTACACCAACAATGCCTTGATTACTGTAGCTTTAGATGAAATCTTAAAATTAGGTACTAAATGTCTTACAACACTGTTTTTTTCTTTCTTTTTCTTTTTACTTTTTTTGTTACTGGGGATCAAACTTGGGACCTTGCACTCGTGAAGCAGGCAGCAGAACCACTGAGCTAAATTCCTGGCCTTTCTTTTTACTTTTCTAGGTCCTTTGTACTCCTACATAACTTTTAAATTTCAATATCCAGTTCTTCATTTATAGCAGGTATACACAGATCTGAATTTTTATAGGTACCTTGTGTTTTCTAATCCTGCTAAATTCAAATACAAGTTCTAGGGCCTCCTAGAGATTTCTTAGTATTTTCTCTGTAGATGATTATTTCATCTACATATAAAGATTTTATTTCTACCTTGCTAATCCTATGCTATTTATTTTTATTGCTAGACTATTTTGGTTTGGGCCTATGTTTCAAACTTTAATGGACAGATGAAGAGTAGGCATATCTGCCCTTGTTCCCCACCTTAGGGAGAAAGCATTGTATCTTCTCCATTCATATAAGGCATTCTCACTGGAAGTATGGAGTACATGTGTTTAATCTGTTGAGAAGTTTCTGTTCTACTTCTAGGCTCCTGATAGCTTTTACCACAAACAGCTGTAGAATTTAGTCCAATACTTTTTCTCCAACTAGTGACAGGATCATATGGCTTTTTCCTTTCCTCTGTTAAAATGATGACTTTTGGGGGTGGATCTGCCAATGCTGAACCAACACTGCCATCCCTATAACAAAACCACTTTCTACATACTGCCAGATCTGACTTCTAAGAGTTTGTTTTGTTAAACAAATTTCTATCTATGTTCATACTTTTTTCTTCTATTATCTTTATCCAGTTTTAGGATTAGCACAATGTTGAGTTCCTAAAATGAAGGGAGAAGTGTTCCTTTTTTTCTCTGCTTTAATTGTTTGATATAATTTATCAGTTAAAATGTATATGAGCCTGTTGTTGTCATATAGGTAGGTTTTCAAGCTAGGAATATACTTTCTTTAATAGGTGCTATTCAAATTTTATATTTCCTCTAGAGTTAGTTTCATTAATTTGTCTTCCAAGGTACTTCTTAGAAGTTATCAAATTTATTTCAAAAAAGATTTCTGTAATATGCTTTCTATATCCTTTTAAATTCTGCAAAATCTGTGGTAATGTCTCCTAGATCTTGATATTGTAATTTTAAAAATGAGTAATTGATATTGTGTAATAGGAGGAAAAGGTCTAAAGGGGCGGGGGAAGTGGGAGGGGTAGGGGAAAGGAAAGAAGGGAAAAGAAAGACTATGAGAAAAGGAAAAAAACGGAAACAAAATCTTTGCAAATAGGGAAGGGTGGAGGGGGTGAAGGGAAGTCAGGGGAAGGGCAAAAAAATAAGAACCAAGATATTGATGTAAAGGTACAAGATCCCAATGATGAATGTAACTGTATTTTATACCTAAAATGTACCAATAAACTTAATGGGGAAAAAAAAGACAGGGGCTGGGATTTAGCTCAGTGGCAAGCACTGGTCCTGAGTTCAATCCCCAGTATGGGGATAAGGGTGTGCGACCACAGACAAACAACAACAAAAAGATATTCACATTTGTGAAGATGTATGTTCAACACTACTCACAGCAACATTCCTTAAATTGTAAAAAATGTAAATAATTTAAATGTTAACTGTGGAATGGGTAATTATGGAATATTCATATAGTGGAACAGATATTTAATAGCAGTAAGATCCTCATATACTGACAAAGAAAGATATCCTATATATATATTTAAAGAATAACTGACTTCAGTCTTGAACTCAGAGCTCCATGCATACTAGGCAAGTGCCTTAGAGTGCTGGACTGTATGTATCTCCAGACCCTGTAGTGGTTTCTTTCTAAGTGCACCCAGAAGCTGCTTTCTCACACCAGTACACAGGAGTGCAAGCACACTTAGGCTCCTTGTTCCTCAGGGGTGGTGTTACCGATGAACTTCCTTTTCTTCCTTTTTATCCTCCCAGATGGAACCCCAGGCCTTACCACATTGAGCTACACCCTCAGCCCTTTTAAAATTTTTAAAAAATTTTGAGACAGTATCTTGCTAAGTCACTAAGCTGTCCAGGCTGGACTCAAAGTTGTGATCCTCCTGCCTCAGCCTTCCAGAGTGGTGGAATGATAGGTGTGCACCAACCATGCCCACCTGGAACTTCATTTTTTCAATTAACATTTTTCTCAAATTTGAAAGAACTTTTAAGTAAGATGAACAGATTACTTTAAGAAGCAGAAAAAATTTAAAAAAATTAACACCACAAATAAAGTAAAAACATACAGAGAGCAGAATGGAAAGCAGACGGCCACACAGTAGCATCCCCAGGACTGAGGGTGCGGAAGTTACCTAGCACGGTTTTCAGATTGTGCACATAGATGACTGCATTGTTGGAGCCGGAGGCCAGGAGGTAGCTCAGCTCTGGCTGGCTGCCGTGCTCGTGATGCCAGCTCATGGTGTTCAGGAGCTTGTGATGTTGCTGGATGGAGCACATCAGTTTCAGCTTGGGGCCCTGAAATATCTCTATTGAGCTGGGATGACAAACATACAAGAAATGAAAGCTACATGGTCAGCCTGTAGTCTAATGCACATAGGATCTCCCTTACTGCATCAGCCCAGGAAAGGGAAATGGAATAACCCCTCCCATCACTGAAATGGTCCTTCTCTCATAAAGAGGTGGGTACAAAAGACTACCTTCTGGTTTGGTTTTGTTTTTTTTGGATCAGGGATTGAACTGTGGACCTCGCGCTTGTGAGGCAGGCGCCAGAACCACTGAGCTAAATCCCCGGCCCCAAAAGGCTATTTTCTGAAATAAGTACATTCAGCTTTAAAAAATTCCAACAGTCTCTGGAAAATTTTGTTTACAGCCATTCGTGATAAATGGTGCTAGGGAGAAACAAAGAATTAACAAGCTGTTCCTGAACTAGGACTGTGTTACTAAGATTAACACTGGATAGGACACAGCAAGACTGGAAAAGGATTTCTGCCTAGGATAACATTTAAGAAAATGGAGATACAGGCAATTTGATGTAGGAGGTGAACTTTTCGTGAGGCATAAAATACCCAAAAGACAGTATAACCTGACAGTATCTTTCAACTGAAAATATCCAAATAATTCTGTAGTTTTCAAAGATGCCACGTGCTCCTGGATCGGTTGAGGAGCTCAAGGATAATTCAGAATATCAATTACAATACGGCTTTGCCAACTAACTTTACAGATGGCATTAGCCAGCTTGTGATAAAAAATATGTGCAATTACAAGTTTTTTCTTTTTTAAAGAAGCAAATACATACCCATCTTCATTGCCAAGAGCCATGAATTTGCCATCTGCTTTCCAGCTGATCTCTGTGTGTACAGGCAGTTTGTTCTAGAAAGCAAAACAAACCAGTGCTGACTGTAAACACTGTTCTCTTCTCCACACATCTCATAAGTCAATGACAGCAAGAGAAAAAGGGTCTCTGGCGTTAAAACACATCTAATTACAGGGGAACAATTCTTCACAACAAGCTTCATAATCAGTCAAAGCATTATGAGAACAAGTGTTCTAATTATAATTTCCTAAATGGGACAGAGAGGAAAATAAGTGGTAAATGCTTGCCCTGTTTTACCTTATGAAATATACTTAACTAAAAGGGTTTTTATCTCACGGAATGAAATGTGCCCAAGTGGTCTTAGCAGTATGGGTTTTACCATCCTTAACAAAAGCCATGCATTCTTTTTTTTTAAGACATGGTCTCACTCTGTAGTTCAGGCTGGCCTTGAACTCACTATGTAGCCCAGGCTGGGCTTGAACTCATGGTGATCCTCCTGCCTCTGCCTGGCACATTTTTCTTGTTTTCTTCCTTTCCTTTCAAAGTTTCTTTTTCTGAATTACTTCCCATCCCAACATGCTCCCACCCCAAGACTGTCTGGATCCTCTTCTTTTACTGGATTCTTTAGCCCATTTCCCTTGTCATGCCTGAAGTGCCTTCATTTATCGTTTATATGAAAGGATTCCAAACTTCTATTTCCATCCAGCCTACTCATCAGCTTCCGATCCACATACTCAACTACTGCTAAGCTAAAAGCTTGTGAAAGAACTTTGTCTCTTTATATTACTGAATATTAATGCACGAGCAAATTTAAGACAGTGAAGGAATATAATCAGTAAATATAATTTATAGTTAAATACTATTTTTGTGCTAACTATACAAAAATAATAAGCAGGGAAAAATAGCTCATTTGAAAGGGTCGGGTAATCTCCACATTTATGGTTTGACTTTCATAAAGAAGTTTTGGCAGATAAATATGTGGACAGAATGTCACGGCAAACGTGATTAAATCTGGGAATCTGGATGAAGGACATAAGAGAACTACCTGTATTATTTTTGTGGCTTTTGTAAATCTGAAATGATTTCCCTTGAAAACAAAGTGACAGTTCTATTTTGAGCAAAAGTAGCTGCGCGTGGAAGACACATTGAGGTCACTTTCACCATGGCACCATCTGGTTAAAGGGGCTGCCCTGTGAGGCTGATTTAGCTCAGCGCATCGTCTGGTGCTTACAACTGAGACCCACTCTGTGCTTCTGGGGCAGTTCTTTGCCTTACTCAAGGATAAAGTCTCCTAAGGCACACCTTAAAACCCACAAATCGGCTCACATCCCTTTAACAATATCTAAGAACCCTGACTTGGCAAATGGCTATCTTTAAGAATGACATTTAGTACTTAAGACCAGACTGCAGGGGAACCCAGCAGGGAGGAGGCTTTAGACACAAGAACTCACCTTGATTGCATTGGTGTCCCGGATGAGTTTGTTGATGTCAAAGGCCTCTCCACCGAACTTCCAAGGATTATGCTGGAAGACAATCCCTTCCCCTCCACAGCTGTATAAAGTGAAGGAAGGCCTGTCTCCTTCTCCTCCTACGTAAGATGAGAAAGCTTATCTGTTCTGTACTTCACCAGCTTAGCTACTTGTTACTACAGTATGGCTACACCATACTGTAGAATGAAAAAGAGTCACACTTTTGAAACATTCAAATGCAGTGGAATAAAGTCACTGCCCTTTCTGTCTGAACACAGTTGTTGGGATGAGTAGAAAAGATAGACCAATTCTACCTTAATTTCTATGACATAATGTGTTACTTTAAACATTCTTACATGCAAAATAGTAGTGACATCAAAGCTGGGATCAGAAAACAAATGTGTTCTCAATCAAAGGTTCTGAAATATTTACTTTTTCTTCCAGGAATGGGTAATCTTGGGGGCATTTAAATACATGGAGCTGCGGGACTTTCTAGGACTAATTATAAGCAAGTGTCCACGCAGCAGTGGTTTCCTTAGCTTTACAGCAACCTTCTAGGTTGAAAGGATGTAAGTTCAGTGTTGAGTTCTGATGATTCACACTATTTTCCCTCTCTGTGCAGGACAATTATTACAGAAATGTATAAATCTTTCATTATAATTAATGAAAATATAATGAACTTCTATTGAATGTTCTTTTAAAAATATTATGGAAGACCCATTTGCAGAGAAAAATATGAAGACAAAGCAGAGGGACTAGAAGGGGGAAAGGGGAGAATATAGCAATCAAAGAGCAGGACCCAGCAGGAGATAACAGAATACAATGAAAGTTTGGAGGCATTTATGCCTAAATGGTTTCTCTCAGAAATTCCAGCTTATCACCTACCACTGCTGCATTCGTGGCCCTCAGGGGATACACCAGGCCGCAGAAATGGTCTCTGCACTAGAACATTTATGATTCTTTCTCCTTTTACGTTCTGGGCCGACACCGAAAGGGAATGCTACCATATTTGTAAAAGAATGGCTTAGAGACTTACCGAGTGACATGGGAGGTACTGGGGGCCCCCAAGCTAGCGTGTACACAGTCTTCTTATGATATGTGCTAGAAATCTGTGGAGGTCTTCAGGGCAGGGGTGGAGAACAAATAAATTCAAACAAAATGTCACAGTAGAAAACAGAACATCTATTTCTAACAGGTCTTTAGTTGCTAATATTAGAGAAAGATAATCTAACAGTAATTTAACTTCTCCAAATAGTGGATTGTAACAAAGCAAACACTAGCATACCCTGTAATAACTTCCACTACCAAAACATGTGAGCCTGAACATACCGTACAAATGTTCCCAGCTACCTGGCCTGTATGGGGTCATGTTTCTCCTATCTCCCTTCTGAGCTGCCCACTTCAACTGTGTCACAAAACCTAATATTACTGCAGTTAGAAGTGTAAAGGTGATCACAATTAGTGAAAAGTAGGCCACTTTTCCCATCTGCCAAGACAGAAAATGCAAACTATTCCATTTAGAATTAAGGTTACTGCTAAGCATACATCGTCACCATCCAAGTATTTTCAGCTTTTATGCAAGTTACAAAATTAGAAGTCATCTCAGACCTACTCTATACCACTAACATCACATTATTAAAATGTGACAAGATTTCAGGGGAGACATTTAATTTTATAGTTTTTGACTGTCTTTTTGAGGAAGACTTGTTCCACTGTTTTTGAAGGTTTTCTGGTTATAAGGATGTGTCAGTAAGGAATGCTTGACTACTTAGGGGGAAAAGGCAGCACTGTTATTAATTTTAATATAAATTCTATTTGTGTGATTTTATTTTATTATTATTTTTTTTGGTACCGAGGATCAAATTCGGGACCTTGCGCTTTCGAGGCAGGCGCCAGAACCACTGAGCTAAATCCCCGGACCTTGTGTGATTTTATTTTTTGAGACAGGATCTTTCTATGTGAGGTTCTCAGTGGCCTGGATCTCACTATGTAGCCCAGGTTGGCCTTGAACTTGGGCAATGCTCCTGCCTCAGCCTCCCAAGTGCTGGGATTATAGGCCTGCACTGCCTCACCTAGCTCTTTGTCTGATGATGATTATTTTATATTTTATGGTTTTAGAACTCTAGAACCTATGACTGAGCTAGCAGTGGAGTTATGTACTTGCAGGTGTTGACAAATTGTGATCATTTCAGACAATTAACAAAACTACTTTGGCTAAGGGACAGAAGAAGCCATTCTGGGCCTGGGGATTTAGCTCAGTGGTGCCACCCACTGCCTTGGAAGCGCAAGGTTCCAAGTTCAAGCCTCAGTACCAAAAAAAAAAAAAAAAAAAGAAGAAGCCATTCTGGATGAATGCCTAACAGTGCATCCTATACCAATATCCTTTCTCCTGGGACGCAGTTTTTCCAGAGTTATTCAAATATTCAGCTTACAATAATAAGAATCAGACTAAATGAACTAGTTAGCAAGTTTATGTTATGGAAGCTACTTAAATATACTTTTATTTTCTTAACTATCTCTTGGAGAGTGTTAACTGAAAAAGAAGAGTCCACTGAATGTGGGCTCCACATGCGCACACGAAGCACTGCGTAGGAAAGGAGGGCAGCTCTGCAGTACACACTGCTCTCTTCAGAAGTGAATGGTGGGTTGGGGGCACCTTGTACAGGAGCCACAGCTGTTGGAGCCAGGGCTGTGCCAGCGAGGGGAGGCAGACGCCATGCCATCAAACGAGCGTGGCTGTGTTCCCAGGAACTTTAGTTTTAGACAGGAAATCTGAGTTGTACCTCACCATCTGACGCCACAGAGTACTGATTTTCCCCAACCGGTTAGGTGAGAGCGCTCTTCACTCCTGGGGCACAGCTCCCCAAGCCCTGGTCTGGAGCTGCTGTCCAGCGAGGAGCTCAGCTACATGTGGCTCATGGAGCTGAGGAAGTGACTAATTGTATTTAATTTTGATTAAACAGCCACATGTAGCAGGTGGCTACAGAAACAAATGGCCCAGTTATGGACTGATAACATGAGTCATAAATATGCTTCCTGGCAATCATGGTAAGTGTAAGAAGCAAGTGGGATTTAATTTAATAATATATTTTACTGAACTGAGTATATTAAAGTATTATTTTAAAAAATTATATTATTGATTTGTATGAATATTATGAAGTTACTGTTAATTTCTTAAGTCTCATTAGGGTATTACTGCTACATAGGAGAAGGCCTTTATTCTTAGAACTGCAAAGGAGGAGTGTCAGGATATTCGAAACTTTGTTTCATATGGGGTTTTTTTGGTACCGGGGATTGAACTCAGGACCTTGTGCTCACAAGGCAGGTGGCAGCACCGGTAAGTTAAATCCCTGGCCCAACTTTGTTTCATATGCACCACACTGAGACACACACAGACACAGATTAGACAAGGCAAAATGTTAAATGACAGAAGGTACACAGATGTTCTTTACACTTGTCTTTCAACTTTCATGTATGTATAAAACCTTTGGAAAAACAAAAGCAAATGGTGTATATTAGTGATGCTCAAATATGATAGGATGAATCACCACTACCTGAAAAGAAATTTTTAAATTAAATTCTGAGTTCTGAACCTTGGTATTAGAACCAGAATTTTCTTCTAAAAAAGCCTTTAATGCTATTTTGAGGTGTATCCAGGTTTATGAATTCAAAATGAAATCTATCACCGACATTTTGGCCAACGGGCTAAAAAAGAATTGGATTTCTTACTTGTTGGAGTAGGTGTCGTACAATCCTACTTTTCCGTCATCAGTTCCGAAAGCTAAGCAATGTTCTTTCTTTGGGTGCCAGCATAGCTACAAGAAGAGTTCCCAAGTGACAACTTATGAGAAAAGGAGCACACATTTAAGGGAATCCTTATGTTAACTTCTAAACATTCAAATAGAAAACTTCTTTGCTCTTTATTTCTTCTAATTCTCAATGTTTAAAAGAGAAAAAGGTTTAAAAACAAAATTAAAGTTACTTGTAACTCACCATCCAAAAACCCCCATAATTTTCTATCTCTATTTTCTGACATTTTTTTGAATAAGCTTAGATATACACAACAGAAAAAAACAAATGAGCTCAAACATTTCACTGATGTGCATGATACACTGTGAATTGGGGATAAGATTGCAGAACAGTGTAGAAAATGTGAATCTATTAATAATTAAAATTTGGATTATGGAAGTGGGGGTACTGCAGTAGAGGGTATGGCGGGAAAAAATGATTACGTTCTCAGACTCTGTATTGTTTGGTTTTCTTTTTTCTTTTGGTGCCAGGGATCTAACTCAGCTCCTCATGCATACCAGGTAGGTGCTGTGCCACTGAGTTACCTCTGTGGCCCCTGGTTTTCTTTTTAAATCACATTTACTGCTTTTAGACTAAATGGCCACGGTACAGGTATCATTTGAGAGAAAAACAAGTTATACATGTTTTCTAATCTGGATTCCATGTATGGTTCTGTAATTTCATTTTTATAAATTATTTTTTTACATCAAAAATATCTACACTATTGTTTTTAATAGATACCACTCTAATATGTGGTTGTATTATACTATAATAATATCTTTATGAACATATACCGGGTTATTTCTAGTTTCTTACTATTAGAAAACATGAACAAATCCTTAATTTTAAACTCTGAATTTGGGGACAATGGGTTTTATTAGAGGGACTTTCTGCTTTCCTAGGTTCAAATTTCATTGAAAATATCCTTAAACATAGCGTTCACTTACACAAGCAGATAATCTCTAAAACAAAAAACAAAAAAATAACCCCAACCCACTTATTTGAAAAAAATCTTAAAGCAGCAGCCTTACCGCCGTAACCTTGGACTTGACACCTTGCCAAAAATTTTTCACGTCATAGTTGTTCTTTTTGGATGATGTGTTCCACACCCGGATCATGCCGTCCCCAACACCTATAGCCAAATAGCCTGTGTCCTCAGGAGAGAAGGCCAGGCTGTATGCAAACCCCCCAAGGGACGGCAGGGTCCAGCAGCACTCCAGCGTGGTCATGTCCCAGCATTTTACCTGAAAAGATGGGGGTTAGGGCCTAAACATAGAAAAAAGCAGAGGTATAGGAAAAAGACTCCCATGTTTCAAATGGAGTAGGCTCAAAGAGTGGGTAAGCATACTATAACTTAACTATTTCAGTAGGAATTGGCAAAAGCATCTCTCAGGAAAAAAAACAGCCATAAATTATATATCTCAAAGGGATCTTGGAATCTGTTTATTCTCAGAGATGTCCAGGGAATTCAGCATCATACAGTTAATACACGAGAACCCCGGCCTCCCATTTTCCAGTGGCAGCCAATACAGCTCCTTCTACTGGCTCATTTAGTAAACTCTAAATAAGGATGAATGTGGCCTCAACACACAGAAGAACCAAAGAGCTGCTAGCTAAAAAGAAAAGCACCTTCTTGAACTCAGGGGAGGAGCGAAAAGTTTTTAATCATTGCTTGTTGAACACAGGAGCATGAGAGAAAAAGTCTATCAGATAAGCCTAGCCTCACTGCAAAATGGGTCACAGACTCTTAAATACAGCCAGTTCATACTTGGAGGAACTTTACCAAGAGCAGATGATTCTGTTGCCTAAATTGCTGTCTAGACCAGTAGAGATGTAGACGTAGGCCAGAGTAGGTGTAGTAGCGACAAGGGCCCAAACTGCAACCCGTAACCCACGTACTTAGCAGAAAGCGCCAACACTGCAATTAAACCTGAACACTGAGGTTTAAGTTTAAAAACAAAAACAAAAACCTCATACATTAGCATCTTTTGTCTTAAAAAAAACCACGTGTGCCATAGGTTTGCCTCTACTGGAGGATAAGCCAAAGCACAATGAGCTCACACATCCTTTTGTGGACACATCTACTCTTTAAGTCTGCTTTAGCAAAAAGGCATCTCGGTAATCCCTCACATTTCCCCTACCAGTGTGCTGGGGACATATTTAGAGCTGATTACTAATGGGAACTGTGAGGCTGGAAATAGGGGTCAGATCGGGTGTAAGGACTGACATCTCAATCTCATCCAACTGCGCTACCAGGCAAAGGAAAGCAAGTAGTTCTTACATCTCTATCCATTGATGTGGACAGAAGCAGGTGCTTGTCGTCCTCAGTTTGCAAAGGACATAAATTAAAGACGATTCTGGAATGATTCTGCCCTTCTGAAGCGCTAAAGAGGGTATATTTCCGTCTCCAAGACTGGGTGAGATCCCACAGCAGCAGTTCACCTCTGAGAAGGAAGAACACAGGCACTAGTTCTCATTCATAAGCAATCTGAAACAAGGGATTGCTGAGCTGGGGTCTGGGCTCTGAGTTGTATAATGATTGTTCCTTGCCAAAATACAAGTAAAACGACTGCAGAATGGGCTAAGAGAGGAAAAATCCTTTTCTGGGCTTCAGAGATTTGCTGACAGGAAGTAGACTGCCATATCCATCATGTTGGGAACTCAGTCTGCCACAGGGAACAATTATTCAGAATGTAACAATATCTGGGTGACTGCTTTGCTTCCAGATCTAGACATTCTCACAGACTGACAAAATTCACATTAGCCTGATTTGTGTTGGTTTTTAACCGCTGGTTTTGCTTCAGTCCTGTGTATTTTCCCCAGAATGTTGAGCTGCAGGTACCCATTGCTCTGTACCATAAAAGCTGAAGTTCGTGTATCCCTTGGCAGCTGTTTTTCCTGATTTGCAAATCTGTTTTGCAGCCACACACAACTGTCTTTACTTTTGCCTACAGGGAGGGGAATCAAGTGGCTATGGAAGATGGAGGTGAGAAGGATACTTTATTATACACCTTTGTTCTTGAAACATTAATGTACTAGACTATCTTTGAAACAGATCGCTCCAGTAGCTTTAATTATGAATGCCACCACCCCATATTTAGCCTTTGTCTTTTCCTGGCATACAACTCCTAAAATTCTTGGAATCTCCAGAATCATGAGCATCCTTTTTTTTTTTTGGTACTGGGGATCGAACTTGGGCCCTTGTACTTGCAAGGGAGGCACAGGCGCAGAACCACTGAGCTAAATCCCAGGCCCCAATGAGCATCCTTTTTTATATTAATGAGCTGACTGATGGCTGGCAGCCTGTAGGTAGCTTCAGGATGGGAAATGCTGGCCCCACCCCCAACCTCCACACAGAAGTAAGGTAAGGGGAGGGTAAATTGATCACCAATGGCCAAGGGCTTAATCAATCATGCAAATGTAAATAAGCAGCCATAAAACTCAGAAGACAAGGCTCTGAGAGCTTCCTGACAGCCAAACAGCCTAACACAATGCGTGGACAGTCCTGGTGGGAAGGAAGGGAGCTCAGAGGGCAGAGACACTCTTTGCCTGTCTCTCACACCTCACCCCATGTATCTCATGTGTGTCCTTTAATATCCTTATAGTGAACTGGAAAATGTATGGTGTCCCTCAGTTCTGTGGGTTGCTAGTGCAAATTAATTGAACCTGAGACGAGGGCTGTGGGAACCCTGAATCATAGCCTGTTGGTCAGAGGAGCAGGTAAAACAACCTGGGGAAGTGTGTGTGGTCGGGGGAGTGCTGGGCACCAAGCCCTCAAACTGAGGGATCTAACACCCTCTGAGAGTCAGAACTGAATTGGGATAGAGGACACACGGCTTGAATCCGTTGCAGAATTAATCCCTCACTTGCTGAAGGGGAGAAATCCCCTTACCACTTGGGGGTCACAGAAGCCTTCTGTATTCACTGTGGTACGAGAACAGAGGAACAATGTTTTTTGCTATGGAAAGGGCTCAATAAATTTTGTTTATTGAAGGGCTATAATCATTCTAAGAAATAGAGAATGTTACTACCACTTCCTCTTTCTACACACTGAAGCTGTGTACAGCAAGTAACTGAAGCTCAGCACTGTCAAGGTTCTTGCTTATGACCATGAACCAGGTAAGCATCAGATTGATTCTGGAGTTCATCTGTCTCTGACTTAACCCCCATGGTATGGTTTTGATGTTTTTATGACTCTGCTAGTTGAAAGCACAAGTCTTATGATTTTTCCATTTTAGATGGTCTATCATAATACAATGGCCATCACTGTGTCTGCAACAAGAGGTCTAGGAATCACTGAGGCCAACAGAGACACAAAGTCTATCTGAGAAAGCACGACCTTAAGACTCACCCAAAGCAACTGGACACCAGCTGTGTCGGCTGATTCTTGGGCCAATACAGGGTCAACCAAAGGCGCTCTTTAACTGTCGGGTCCACACCCCCTCCTCTTCTCTTCAGAAAAGGGATTTTCAAAAGCACCACTCCTACAAGTTAGGGAAGGACAGCAAGCACTCAGGGTAGTGAAGCTACTTATGTGGAGTCACCAGCAGTTAACAACACACCATCAGTGATTTAAGTCTGTTAGTTTGGTTGCTTTGACTAAATACCAGATTTTTTCATGAAACATTATTATAAATAGTGCTTAATCTCAATCTGGCTACATTTAGGTTAAACAAGATTTTATGCATTGTTTAGGCGACCCAAGCATGTTAAGAATATTTTTTATTTGGGGAAGTGTTCTCAACTAGAATTGAGACTCCAATGTGGTAAGAAAACCTGAGATTTTCCCAAGTCAGGACAGAAACTGAGGTTCCTTCTTGTTGGCCATAAATCCACGCAGGGGAAAAACACAGCAGTCAACATGGTGTAGTGGGGGAGCACCTCCACCAGTATTACACTACTGGCTCCTAATCTGTATTTTACATCCGAACCACAAGTACAGTTTTGAAAAACACATATGCCAGTGTCCAACTCCCAGAGATTCTGATTCAGTAGATATGAAACAGCGTCCAGGACCCTGTATATTCAGAAACGCTCTCGCTGATTCTGCTGTACAGAACTGAAGGCCACTGTATTTGACAGTTCTAAGTTTAGAGGTTATTATTCTGGAAGGATTCTCAGCCCAAGAGCCCCAAGTGGATTTTTAGCTTAGTTTGGGTAAGGTATAAACATGCAGATGTACACTTCTATACTGGATAGATATCATGTACTCTGCAGCTCTTCTATTCCTGTGACCCAGGCGTTTGCCAAGTTCCAATATTCCCATTCTTATAGAAAGTACCTTGCTCTTCATACCTAATAGCAACCCTTGTATAAAGCAAGAATGTTTGCCTTCTCTTGAAATGCATCAGAAAACACAAAAGCCCTATGGTCAAAGCATAGAAAGCTCCAGCCCAGGCTAAACTGGGGCACTAGTGTTTGGGACAGGAGAGTAAAGAACAGATTTCTGATAGATGATAAACTCTCAGAACAATAAGATGGAACAAAAGGCAGCCATTCTACCAGAGCAGTATAGGTTACATCACAAGGGACGTCACACATCAACCTCACCTCGGCCCCTGGCACAGCTCCAGATTCGAATGGTCTGATCTTTGCTTCCAGTGGCTAAGTAGCAGCCTTTTGCCTCTGGAGTTTGTGTCGTAACTTTCCCATTGGTAATTTCAGGTTCTTCTAAGAGACAGATGGAAATGAGATTTCAAATTTGCATTAAATATGCACGTTACTTAAAAAAAATTAACTCACGAGGGTTCCCAAAACCTAGCTATCTCTTTTTCTTTTTTTTTGGTACTGGGGATCAAACTCAGGACCTTGCATTTTCGAGGCAGGCGCAGCACCACTGAGCTAAATCCCTGGCCCTTTATTTCTTTTTCATAGGTCCACTGTGAAACCTAGTTTTAAAATACAGTTCAGACAATTTAATTCTATCCACTTTGTTCTTTAGGTCTGAAGAGCATTAAACTCTCCTTTTAATCATCTTTACCTGAGTTTTCTTCTTGATTTATGGATAAACAATCTTCACCAGGCAGGGGACACCAGGCTATGGAGTGGATTTCATCATCGTGGCCTCGAAGCCTGTGAATAACTTCTCCTTTCTTACTGATGTCAATTATAACCACCATGCCATCCTTGTAGCTAAAAAACAACAGTTAGAAATGTTCGTGAAAAATCAAGACAGTCCCTCTAGTAAACATTTTGGCTTACGAGTCACCACTGTGGACTTCTAAAAGTTACCGAGGTGCACTAGGGGTAAGGGAGAAAGGGAAAAGACAGGAAGCATTTTTGTTCTGTCCTTTCATGCCTCTTGGTTATTAAAACCCTCCTTCCTGACCAGACTCTTGGCACCAGTGCTGTACGTATTTTCTGGCATAAAACTCTTTAACAGTGAGCATGTCTTTATTTTATTGTTTTAGAAAAATCATTTTATTATATACAGCTTTGGAGGATAAAGCTGTTTGTAATGTATTTACATATTTTACTTCATTATAACTAATGATACTTTTCTAACTACAAACTTAACAAAGCCACTGTACTCTACTGTGAAATTCCCGCTGACATTTTATGAATTCAGAAGCTAAGAATTTTTAATAACTTTTTAATAAAAAATGAACTATTTCAGACATAAATATCTACTACCCAGCTTAAAAAAAAGTAATCCAAACAGTTGAAGTGCTCTACACATTCACCTCAATCAAACCTCTCCTTCTTTCCCACAGATAAATCACCAACTGTAAATTTTTTATTACATCATTCCTAGCTTCTTTTTGTATATAGTACTAAATAAGACACAAAATTATTCTGTATATTTAGAAACCTCCTATAAATGGCATCATGCAGTCTGTCTTTCCGAAGATGGCATTTTTCATTCCTTCTGAGTCAGCCATACTAATGTATAATTCTAGCTTCTGTTCAGTCATCTATGCTACCACATTAGTTCCGTACTGTACAGACTTATCACAGTTTAATCACCATTTTCCTTCTGAAGGCCCTCCAATTTTTGCTATTATAAAAACAAAAAGGTTGGCTGTTAATATTCTTGTACATATATAGGACGATTTCAGGTTTGATGTCCAGTGATAGAGTGCCAGCATGTAAGATATGTGTATATTTGTTTTTTTAGAAAGTGCAAAATTGTTATCCAAAGTACTTGTAGCTATCCACATTCCCGACAAATTACACAATTCTACAGGGAAAAACCATCATTACAGATTAAAAAAACCCAACCAACCAAAAGAACTCTAGAAATAATAGTATGCCAGTCTGAAGACCTGGACTTTGAGAATCACAGTTATGAGACCTAACTGCCATGAGATCAAACTGTTTTGAAGGTTGAGTAAGCTTTCTGGAAATAATCAGTTTTGAAAGATCCTCTAAAAACAAATTCTTAGAATCCATAACCAAAGACTTTCCACTACTTGGGTTCCTGCTCTTCTTTCAAGATCTGTCTGAGTCAGGCTGCTCAGACCCCTGAGCACCGCCCTTTCTGCTCAGCCCTCTAGTACAGCAGTGGTGTTCTGGTTCCTGACCATGGGTCCACAGACCTTTTGTAGCTTCCTGTCACTCACCTACATGTGTCTTCCCACCCTTTCCCTTATAACCTGCATTTAATACTCCCACAACCCTACATACCTCCTCTGGCTTCATGCATATTTTTACAACATATTTTGTGCAAAGTTTGTCTCTACCAGACACATCCCCCAACCATACACTGGTCTCTTGCATCCATGTTCTTCAATAGTCTAGTAAGAAGGCCTCTGCCAAGTCTCCAAACTGGTCGGAACAGACATCTTTGGGTGAGAAGTGCATGGGATGGCAAGGGAAAGGCAGTCTTGATGATAAATAAGAAGACAGAGCCCTTCCCAATCTAGAGGGAGGGCTCAGCACCAGCGCCACAGCAGTCATTTCCCTCTGGCCATTCCTGTTATATCTAAGAACAGTATTTGACACATGAAAAATGTGAAAGAAAGAAAACATTTCCAGCATTTGAAGGTTGGCTGCAGAAATCAGACATGAAGAATGAGGAAAGTATAGTATCATGGAAGAGAAAGAAATGAAACAAGAGAGTGTGAGAGACAGTAAGAATCTGGAAGTCACAGGCAAAATGATGCTTATGGTTCAGGGGAGCAGTTAACATTTGTAGAAAGTTTTCCTTGAGGAATAAAGGCACAGGAGAAGGAAACACAAAGGAAACTATGAGCATAAGCAAAAACCATCAATACAAAAGGCATAGTACTTACCCAATGGCAACTAAGTCCTCATGATGAGGTGAACAAGTAAGACAGAAAATTGTCCTGGGTTCTATGAAGAGACGCTGGCTGTCATTTCTGTTAATCCAATAGCAGAAAACGACTCCTTTTTCATCTCCTGATACAATTAAGTCTTTTACTTGAGGAGACCAATGCAATGCTGATATTGTATGCTTCAAAACAAAATGACAATATAGATTTGTTTCTAATTTGTCAATGCTGGATTTTTACTTAATTTTTAAACTGACTCTCAAACCAACATAACACAAGGTGCATCATAGGTACTTAATAAATACCTATTATCGCTATTATTTTGTTGTTTTTGTTCTTTTGAGACAGGATCTTACTATGTAGTTCAGACTGGCCTTGAACTCACTATGTACCCCAGGCTGGCCTCAAACTCATGGTGACCTTCCTGCCTCAGCCTCCTGAGTGCTGGGATTACAGAGCACCCCCCCCCCCAGCATTCTACTATTTTGTAGCAACGTATTAGCTAAGGGATGAGAAAATGCAGACTAGTGGGGACCAAAGAATCATTAAAATTTTTCTTTTCTTTTCTTTTTTTTTTTTAAGTACCAGGGATCGAACTCTGGTCCTTGTGCTTGCGCAGCAGGCAGCGAAACCACTGAGCTAAATCCCCGGCCCTAAAATTTTTCTTTCCTTAAATAGATAACACAAAGTTCTTACAAAGCTTAAGTAAATCTTTTTCTTTCCTTTGTTCTCTCAAAAGGCAAGTATATCAAGTAACGGTCTGTTTTAGAAACAGGGTTATCTTCTCATTTACAGTTTATATTTACTATTTTATATGAGTAACCAGCTATTAAATAGTAGACTTCGCAGATGGTACTGTATTTGTGTAACTCCTCAGCTTTGCTGTGTGGCATGAAAACAGCCACAGACAGGACTTCACTGTGGTTGTATTCTGGTAGCTATTTGTAAAAACAGGAGGTGTCACAGTCTGCTAACCTCTAGTTTATAAACAAAGTATGCATTTCCTTTAAAAAAAGTTTTGAGACAACTTACAAGGGTAAAGTTTTGTATCTAATTTATGGATACAATTATAAAAGTCACCTTGAGCAACTGAGCTAGGAAAGTACTGGAAACAAAAGAACTACAAAGATACTTAAAAATGTACTGAGAAATCAGTAAGCCATGGTACCTGATGGAGTGCGTGTTCTGTCACAACTGTTTTTGTCTCCACATCCCATATTTTCACAGTCCCGTCATCCGAGCTGGTGGCACAGAGATTGTACTGACCGGGGTGATGGGAAAACGTGAAGCCAGAGACCCTCTCAGTGTGTCCCACCAGCTCTCCTACGACTTTAAGCGAAACCAGACTTTAGGTTAATTAAAAAGCTATCCATGGGGCCGGGGATTTAGCTCAGTGGTTTCGCCGCCTGCTGCGCAAGCATGAGGATCCGAGTTCGATCCCCGGTACCAAAAAAAAAAAAAAAAAAAA